CCCCATATATATCATTGTTATATATCATATATCAATATATCATTGTTGCATCCTCGTTGGGACGAACAATGCCGCGACACGATGATGACAGTCCCTCCGCAACTCACCTCTTCCCTTCCTTCTTTCTCCTACCCCGCTAGCTTTCGTCATCCACCCCCGGCCTCAAGTTTTATAATTATACTGCATAACTCGGAATGAGAAGGTCTAGCACATTCTGCATATATAATTAATAATTAATTAGAAGATTTAATTCAAACGTCTCAGACGTATACAAAACATGTCACAATGCAATACAATAACCACATATATACATTTATATACACAATTATACACACATTTGAGTTTTAAGCAATGTGTGCCATGGAATGTGTCAAGCTTAAATACGAATGATACATTTCTATGTTTGTGCTTCTTAGTCAGAACTTGTCGTCAATGTGTAGGCCGGCGAGAGTGTAGATCATGAGTCGAAACAACCCCGCCATTTGTTTGTTGGTTTCAATTCCATACAGTTTTGGATCGCAGGCACTTGATATGTATGCATCATGCAGCGGCAAGTCTTGGTCTATCCAAACCATGCTTGCAGAGCCCCAGTTCTTTCAGAGGGTTGTTGCTTTGGATTTTCTCCTTGAACAATCCTCTTACATGAGGGCAGGAACTACAAAACCTGTAGGTCACTGTAGGTCAAACATATGGTAACTTTACCAATCTATGTAAAAGCGTGGAACCTGTCTCTGCCTTGTCTCAATCCTGGGACACCCAAGGCCGCAAGGGCTGATCCTCCAGACCCCGCCATTTCTTTTGTCACCCTTCATGCTTTAGAATCCTTTAGGGTAACCTTATATCACACTTCATGCAAAGAGAGTTGCAGAAGATGGTTTCTGTGACAGGCGAGAACAATCGCGTTCTATTTTTCTGGTATTTGATTCTTCAATCGATTGAGCTGGGCGTCTTCTTCAAGGAGGGCATCCTTGGCATTTCCCTCTTGAAGCCCAGCGTGGTGCTCATGGTGGGCCTGCTCTTCATTGCAATTTTTTTTCTGATGGCTGGAGGCTCAGATGGGCTCAGGAAATCTCGGGCGGATCCTGCACGATTTTCACAGATACCAATGATCAATCTGACTGTTTACATTACATTATTTTACCATGTTTTGCTCAAGATTTTGCGAGTGTTTCCTATGCCGCTTTCACTAAGGTGAGCTGCTTGCTCTCGTTCCACGGCTTTCTGATTTTGGCGAACCTTACCACCTGGGAGCACATCTCCTGGCGGCACATTACCTATTTGATGCTTGCATCCTGTGTTTTTTTTGTAGTTACTGTTACCCAAGAATATATAAGTTAATATAAGTTATATATATATAGCTCATGACTTATGTATGCTTATGTGTGCTTATGCATGCTTATGTATGATTATGTATGCTTATGTGCAGTGTGGGTTGGGGGTCCACTTTTTTCAGGTATAATCTTGATGTTCCAGCGATAGTTGAGTTTAGCTAATGGGCCCAACATAGTACGTATGTTGTTCTCGTTTTACAAAGTGGGTTTAGGTCTGATAACAGGGTGGGGTCCCAAGAAATGAATGCACTTGTGCTCCTGCTTGTCCTTGCTGTGATTATTACTCTAGAAGTAGGAGGAGGAGTAGGAGTAGGAGTAGAAGTAGGCGTAGGTGTAGGAGGAGTAGAAGTAGAAGTAGAAGGATAAGGAGAACGAGAAGGAGTAGTAGTAGTAGTAGTAGTTGTAGTAGTAGTAGTAGTATTAGTAGTACGAGTAGTACCAGTAGTACCAGTAGTACCAGTAGTACCAGTAGTACCAGTAGTACCAGTAGTACGAGTAGTACGAGTAGTACGAGTAGTACGAGTAGTAGGAGTTGTGAGTTGTTATTTTGGGTGTTTGTTGTGGTTGTTGCTGTTGCTGTTGCTGTTGCTGTTGCTGTTGTTGTTGTTGTTGTTGTTGTTGTTTTTTGTTTTTTTGTTGTTGTTGCCGTTGCCGTTGTCCTCGTCCTCGTCCTGTCGTTGTCGTCGTCGTCGTCGCCGCCGTCGTCGTTGTCGTCGTCGTCGTCGTGGTCATGGTTGTGGCTGTGGTTGTGGTTGTGGTTGTTGTTGTGGTTGTTGTTGTGGTTGTTGTTGCGGTTGTTGTTGTGGTTGCTGTTGCTGTTGCTGTTGCTGTTGCTGTTGGTGTTGTTGTTGTTGTTGGTGGTGGTGGTGGTGGTGCTGGTGGTGTTCGTGATGTTGGAGTTGTTGTTGGTGTTGGTGTTGGTGTTGTTTTGTTGTTTTGTTGTTTGTTGTTTTTTGTTTTGTTTCGTTTTTTTTTGTGTGTGCGTTTTGTTTGTTGTTTGTTGTTTTTGTTGTTGTTGTCGTTGTTGTTGCTGTTTGTCTTGTTTAGGTTTTTTGTTGTTGCTGCTGTGCTGCTCTCGCTGCAGACGGATTCATATTCTTCAAAGCCACAAGAGTCCCAAATGGATCCAAATGGCATCCTGAGTTGTTTGATGTTGTTTGTATAAATGTTTTTTGGTTTGTCATTTTCGGCTTTTCTGTGCCGTTGCCGTTGCCCGTGATTTGGCTAGGAAGTCCCTGCGAGCCGAACGTGGATCGCCTTTTGCACGCTTCTCACCTTAAGAGCCTTAAAACTTGGGTCTTTCCCCCAAAAAAAATCCGTCAGGGAATGGCCACTGACTACTGTAACGATTGTTTTTTGCGAAGCTGCTAAGCTGCTAAGTATTCGATGGAATGGAACCACTTTTAATTTAAGCATATTTAATCGACATCTTCGCCGAAGGCCTTTAAAGATCGTTTTTGTATATTTTGCAGCATGGGCTTTCATGTACTTCCTGGGTTGCAGCATCTTGCAGCCTGCAATTTGACATTGGACATTCAAGAGCAATATGGCCGCATTACATACCACAGAAGAATCAGAACCGTAAGAAAATCCATATTTTGTGGTGCATATATATGCAAACAGCTTTGTTTTGTGGGCAGTTGCTGGATATCACACTGGGCGGTTAGCATGTCATGTAACTGCAGGGTGCAGCATGATACATCCCCCGGACACAGGAGCATTGGTTTACAAACCAAGCATGTGATGCGCTCATCTAGCATATCAAGCATCCTTGGGCAGAAACGACTGCGGCACATCAGCGGAGGTGGGTTAGAGTGCCCTTGGCACACCCGTTCTATTGCCGTTGTGGAATCAGGTTCATTGTGGTGGAATGTTGCGGTCTATTGCTGCGGGGCCTTGTGGTGCCCAAGCATCCTTCGTCGTTTTCCGAATGTACGCTATGACAATGGTGGTGTGCTGTGGGACTTGCCACTTGGGAGAGCTGTCAGAGTTGTTGCAGCAGGTTACGCCAATTCAGTTTCCTTTGTTGTTGTAGTACTGCACCTGCATCAGAAACCAGGATGTTTTACACCAGATAGCTTCAAACTACGGGGATTTGTGCAACTTCTCATAGCATCAAGGGGTTGCCCGAACTTTGTGGGCCAGTTGTTGTTAATAATTGGCGCGGTGCTTTTGAATTCTCGTGTAAATTAGTTTTGTGATTTTGTGAAGAAATTCAATGTTTCGGAATATGCTAGAACTCTAACTCAGAAAATGGTAGAACCTTTCAGGCCATTCCTGTTTCTTCTCTCTGGCATGTGCCACATGTGCAGAACCAGTTTGGCAAAGGTCTGAGCAGCGTGGGATGTGCTGTCTCATTGCGTGCTGTGCGGAGACATGCTGACATCGACGACGCAGCTGCAGTTTGTAGGTCAATCTGTGCGTTGACGAAAAAGGTGCGCCTGGGAACGCCTGGGCACATTCAACAAGAGTGATGAACTCCAATCTCAGCTCGTGTCCGGGCCAAGTAGTCTATGAGTCTACGATTAACTTTTTTCAGACGGTGAATGTGGTGAATGCATATATATATATATACATATACATATGAATATATATATAATATATATATTAATATATGATTATATATGCGTGATATATATATATTATATGTATACACTGATAGATACTGATACGAAAGTCATCAGACTTGCACTCCAAGGTCGTAAAATTCAGACCCAAACCTTTGTCTGCCAGGTTTCAAGATGTAACCACTGTAACCACCGCCCAGCATTGCATTTTCATGATGCTATTTTGGGACTTCGGCGGTGGAACATGGAAAGGTCATGCCACCGGGATGCAAATTGTTCCACTCCCATGACTTAGACCTTGGACATCTCCAGGATTCTCTAGGCCATCTTGGATCAGATCCGATGCCATCGATATTTAGAATTTATAGTATATATATATATACACAAGTTATTGTAAGTTATATTTACACAGTATATTACATGTGTTTATCTATGGAGAGAGAGGGAGTCTTCTGACAACAGAGAGGTATCTTGCGAGATTCGCTTGAATATGAATTCTGTTCAAATCTGTTCAACTTCCCCCAACTTTCTCATTCTAGGAGGTGATAGCAATCGAAATCCATATGCCAATACCCTCCTGCGCCATGCCTGAGGGCAGCGTGCCCCCTTCTCCAATTAAATAAATGAACTTGTCCGCTGCTGACATGCTGCTTCCGCTGCAGCTACGGCGTCATACTTCTGAAACTGACTGTCATAGGTCATAGGCCCTGGAACTGCCCCGACTGCTGCTTTGTAAGGAAGATGCCGAATGACAAAGAGAGCCGCGAAAGATGAGCAGCCATAGCAGCCCATAGCGGCCCTGTTTCACCCAAAGGTGCATGCTATGTCATGTTTTTCGCACCTATTTTTCTAGCAAGAGGTCGCAAAGCCAGGTCTACAAATCGCACCATTGGTAAAACCAGTTTTTAGTGGGGCCAGAAAAGATATGAAAAAATCTTTGAAAAATCCACAAACATCAATCGTAGTGTTATGTGTGGCAGAAATGGGATCCCTTCAGATCAAGAGCTTGCCATGGCTCTGAGACCTTGGTACACCAAGGGAGCCCTCTCGGCTCCCGAGGGAGCTTCATTGAGCATATTGAGCTCCGTTCTTGCAGAGTCGCTTGACCTGAAGTGATGGCTTTGCAACATCCAGAAGCAGCAAACCAAAAGCAGCATGCAAAAACAAACAAAAGCCTTTGCAGTGAGCCCGATGTGCATGGCCATCCTTATCAAGTGCCTCAGAAGTGTCAGATATTGCCACTTCAGCCATCTTCAGCCTATAGAATCCTTTTTTTTTTTGCCCATAGTGTGCGCCACACATAGTGTTGGCCATGGAGGAGTCACACGAATTTCTCAATCCTCATTTGCGAGAGAAATCATTGACATCGTCATAGCAACCACGAGACATTTGATTGAATTGAACATTTATGCATTTTGGCAGAATTGGGAAGTACCTCCCTGCAATTCAGCTGTTCATGCATGTTCATATGAAGGTTTCCAACTTAGTTTCCATTTATTTGGGGGGCTCTGAGGAACACACCGTGTTTCAAACTCTTGAAGGAAGTTTGGATTCTATTTTTTCAATTGATGGCACTTTCGCAAGGAATGGAACGTTTGTTTGATGCTGCAAACTTCTTCTTTTAAACATGTCAAGCTTTCTGTTTTGATAACTGCGATGGCTGTGCCAGGCTGCCCATAGCATGTGCAAGGACGTGCAAGCCCCAAGCTTACGAGCTGAGTTTGGAGCATCTGGATCGCGATCAAATGATGGCTGAACATTGGACAAACTTGACATGACTTGACTGCGTTTGAAAAGTCCTATATATTTTGACATGTTTCTACAATTTTCTACATAGATCTGATGGTAGCTGATCTCTGAAGCAAGGGACAACCTGCCCCCGGTGGGAGCGCAGATTCGAAGAGAAGACGAGCAAACATGTGCTGGAAAAAGCGGCCACCTTGAGCAAATAAAGCCGTTGTGCTTTTTGCGCATCACTTCGTGGCTCCAAGTCACAGTGTATCCTTTCAAATTCTCTCGTCCACAGCTTGGCATGGCTCAAATTTTGTTTGCGCAGCAAAGCGACTTCTTTGCCGGTAGCTTTGGGAGGCTCGATTCTTTTCAAAGCCTTTCAAACTTCACTGATCTTCACTGCGCATCAGACTTTGGAGATCTGTGATCTGTGGAGTTTCAAGATGTTTCGATTCAAGCTTCAGACCAGGGAGTACTTGACGCAGGCGATTGCAGCTTGGTGCCAATTCGCCTGGATCTCGGGCAGTGTTTGCGTCAAGCCAAGTCCAAAGGTCTCATGTCGCTTCTGAAAAAGCGTTGAACCCTCAAAACTCAGAAATATGATACGAATTAATAATATGATATGCTAAACCGATTCCTCATGATTCCTGCAATTCAGGCGTGTTTTTGTTTCTGTAGGTAGCTCACAGGACTTTGATCCATGACACTTCTGCAATGTGTCTAGGGCAACTGCCGAGAGCACCGGACTTCATGCAGATCCCAAACTGAAGAAGATGCGTCTTGGCAGCATTGACATGAAATATTAGAACAGAGGATGCGTCACATGTCAACAGTGTTTGCACAATTTTGCACATGTTTGAACTTTTGAACACATTTGAACACAATGTTTGAACATATTTGCACGTATTTGGACATATAATATATATATATATATAATATATATATAATATATATATATATAAATATATTTTATACAGTAATACTTCTAATTAAGTAACGCCACCAAGATCAAACTGCATGCGCATGTGCGTCCACACAGTACGGACATATGCCCGAATATCACAACCATTCTGCCATACAAAAGCTCTTGCTTTTCTCCCAGTCCACTGTATTTGCAGTGCTGTAGCTTGGATGCAGTGCTGGTATGCCTACATGTATCTACAGGTATATTCAAGTTTATGATATTTTAAATATGGAACGGATGCATGTACCGTGCCAAAAGTAGGCCAAGTCAGCAGTGCTTAAACGGAACTTAGACTCCGTTTTGAACCAGCAGAAGTATCATGCACAGAGTCCCTTTTCACCTTTTAGCATCCTTTTGCACATCCTACTTGAAATCACTTTCGGCAGTCCTGGATGCGCATGTAATTATGAAAGTCTACGAGGCAACCAAATCAATCAGGCAATTAGCGACCTTTTTCTTTTGGTCAAGTTGTGCCAGTTGGGTCATGCGACTTCCACAGGGCACTGCGGGGGATCTTGAGCTCCAAATCGGAGTCCAACCTTCGACAGTTACCGCGCCCCGGCTGATTGGGATTCTAGTTGGATCGATTTCTTTGAACCAAAATGCAAGAGTCACATGGTATGACATTGGTATCAGCATTTCTCAAGTCTGGTTGTTCTGCAATTACTTGTTTAGGGTCAGTCATGACAACACGTATGAGACTCTCACTTTAAGAAATGCATCCAAAATGCGAAATATGTGTACCAATGACCTACATGGCTGGAGATAGTGGGTGTGGTCCAAGGTGCCTGAGCCCAGTAGATGATGACGCCACTTCCAGTGGCTAGCTCGCTACTGAGATTTGCGGCAGAGATGGGCAGAAAAATCTTCACTGAACCAATGTCATGTCAACATCTCACCATTTCTTGCCGTGTTTTTGTCAACAGATGTTTAGGAAGGTACTTGACCAGTGTTGCTTACCTTACAGCTCTCTCCATGGCCCGCTGACATTTCATGGGGCCGCGTTCAGTCCACGGAGACCTTCCTTGAGTGCGCGGTCACGGACCAACTCAGGGCCATGAGCTCAATTCCAATGACAGAGGATTCTTCTTGTTGAATTCATTTGTGGCATTTGAATGCATTTGATGCAGACCATTTATTTTGATTGGTCATGTCTTAAATCTGAAAGCGAAGCTGTAAAACGATGACGGTGACGATCCAGGCCACAAGTCAGCTAAGGCGGCTGATCTCACCACCTCAAGAGATCGACCATCCTTGGGACGGGAATCGTATGGAATCTTTGCAGGGACGTGAAATGACATGAACATACATGAACGGTTTCTCATGGTTTCTCCATGTTTCTTTTTAATGCGTGGGAATGGGTCAGTAATAGTGGGTCAATACGTAGGACCCAGGCACTTTTTGTTCGTAGTTCGTAGGCAATCGTTTTTTTGAGATACCCATTGACTTGTCCCACACAATACTACACATAATGTACTGTATATATCTGTATATGATATATCATTTCGTACCTGCTCATCGGGCAGTTGTTTAGCTCTTTCGCGCTTCTCCCGTTGTTCTGTGAGAAGCTTGGTCATGAGAGAAGCCGTGCAGGATTGCATTGTATTGCCTAATATTGCCATATAATGTTATATAATATTATACCTTTCCACTTCAAACCCCATCCCGTGTGCAGCAGCGCCAAGCCTGCCAGGAGACATGCCCATTTCGTACCCTCTTCGTGGTGGTTCAGGATACGGCTTGGAAAGGGCAAGACGTTGAGCCGCCAATTTTTAAACATCGTTTCACTCGTTTCGAACTCTTGTTCAGATCCAAGTGTGCACCCGGTGTCGATATGGTACGGCAGGACATGCTTGTCTTGAAGTACGGCCTGGAACTGGATGAACTAGACTTCATCAACAAGGCGAAGGCAGTGATGCTCCAACCGTAACCCTCCTGTAGGCTGAGACTCTAAGTAAAATGATATGTGGTCGCATGGTCGAAACAGATGTTCGGTACAAGGACCTGATGACATGTTTTTTCCTTTTCAATCCTTTGGTGCGATCAGTGCTGGGTATCAGTTTGATGATTGATGTTGGGCTGTATGTGAACCCGGCGTTTGGTTGAAAAGATTGAAATCGA